TTTCAAAAATTTGGCATCAGGATTTTTGATTATGATAAATCATTTTTTTATCATTTTTTAATACATATTGATAGTATCTTTTGCTTTCATTTGTCGCCCACAGCATTACCCTATCTTTAATATTTACTGTCTTATTTTATTGTAAAAAAAGGGATAAAAACCTATTGTAAAATATTGTAAAAACCTCTGGATAAACAAATACAAAAACTTTTAAACTGATTAATATATCGGTTCCAAATTTTGAGGGTTTGTTAAGTATCCCAATACCCAACCTTCGCTGGAACTCTAAAGTAAAGTTGTTGTATTCAAAGTTTTTAACGAATATCAATTGTCACTTATTTTGCAGTTTGTAAAGCAACAAATTGACTTTTCAACTTACAAAAATCAGCATTTTGAAGCTTTGTCAATATTCTAAAAGATAAAATTTTGTAATTTTATGTCAAGTATTTAGCTTTCTAATGAGTGGAAAAAATCGCGTTTCTTGCATTACATTAAATCATTAAAAAACGGCTCCGAACTTTAGACAGGAAACAGGTAGGTTTTGTTCTTATATGTCTACAATAACTAAAATAGTTGTCAGCTACCTGGATTATTGATTGTCACGAGAAAATCCTTATTACTCTGGACTAATATGACTGGACAAGCAAGTGACGAAATATATTATGTAAACTTTACTAACAAAAACGTTCAAAATAAATAGTCCAATAAATATAATTAATCAAATTCCATATTCAAATACTGCAAACTATTTGGGTATTACTCTGAGCTCATGTAAAGAAGAAAAGAAAATAATAATTCTGATTGAAATACAAAAAAATGTACTGACCGATTGACCAAAATTCTACTCTGTTTCTACATAATAAATTATAATTATATAAGTAAATATTGAAACAATAGTATTATTATAAAAACAGTATAAGCATTTAGAAGGAAAATGTCACAACTCAACAGAAAATATTTCTATTCATATAAAAATTTAATCAAATTATAGGTACTTACTGCTTATTTATATAAAATTTCCTCAATCGTCGTCGACTTTTTCGTCCGGAGCATAAACGTCTTCGCGAACTACCCATTTTAAAAACAACAAAACACACTGGTTTGTCAAAACTAGTCAAAAGTCGAAATAAGCCCTAATAATGTTATTCAACATTATTTATGACCCTCCAACTTTCTTACCTACTCGTCGGCGAGAGTCTACAAACTATCAACAAGGACAGCTTGTACTGACCGAGAGAGAGAGAGTACATTTAGCACAATTTAACATTTTTTAAATAGTTTATATGAAATAGCTGCTTTGTCTTACACTTTATGTTAAAAATAAAAACAGATTCGGAAAGTGGGTAAAATTCTGTAGTGCCCTATTTCAAAAAAAAAATTTTTACGTTTATTTTAACCAAAAATATTTGAAAAAAAAATATTGTTTAAACAATTTATTAATTTACAACTAAATAGTGCACTAGAACTTTTTAAGACCTTTCATATAAAAAAAGAATCATCTCAATATCTGCCATAGTTTTTGCGTTATTTGATATAAACTTTTACATTGGAATTTAGTTATGCCCAGAATCGCGAGGAATGGCCTTAAAGCGATCTTTAAATTTCATTCGACATGAGCTTAATACTTTGGCTTCTCGTGAACGTCTTGGTTTTCCTTGTAACGGAAGACAACCTTTTCCTAAATTTTGCTATAACTTCTTCTCAGCTGTGCGTTTTCTTGCACATAAAATTCACGAAAACATTGAAAGTGATAAGAAGCGTGGGAAACGCAATGTGATAATATTAACGAAAACATTGAAAGTGATAAGAAACGTGAGACACGCAATGTAATCAATACCGAAATTACAAATTGAATGAATCATTTACATAATATATCATTTTTTCATAACTCACTCAGTCTTTTCGCTAGCCAGCAATTTCTCTGATAACTGTACCTAATCAGTTAAGTCAAACGTTTGGTATTTTTATTAATTTAATTTATTGTCTTTATTTATTATCAAAGGTTCTATTATTAACACTTACAAATTTATTAATGTCCTTATTACTATTTTTTTTATAATTATACTAATTTACTAATATTTATTTATATTTATTTCCGCGTACAATTATATTTTCGGACTCAAACGAACTCGATATTCAAAACTAACTAACTATAATTGGTTTCAAATGAGTGTAGAGTAATAAATCATGAAGTGTCATAAAATTTGCCTGAATTTCGGTGTCGTCATGGGCGTAGGCAAATGGACGGATGTCAACTTCGTCGTCAAAAATTGATGTACCTCAAAATATCATATTTTGGATATTTTGTGATAACCAATTTTATTTAATTTTTCGATTAACTTATTCTTCAAACTCGTATTCCATTATATGGTCATTAAAGCTAATTACATTTTTATTTATAAAAAACAAATTCAATTCCTTACTGAACGAATAAAAGCATTAGAAGAAACTGATAAGGGTATGACGCACCTCCTAATATTACTAAGAACTAAAATAAATCAACATGAAGACTAATAACGCGTAATGAGGTTTTACTTACACTGTCATTATAATCCCTCTTTTATTTTATTATTATCATTCGACATTCGAGTTAGTAATTGTTACTACACCAATTAAACGTACAGTAATATTGTGATATAGAAATAGTGAAAAAGTTATAAAATGGCGACATTTACTCCAAAGAAAAGAGATGTAAAAAATTCTCCGCTATCTGTTAGTGAAAAAGTTATAATTTTAAATGTATATGATTGCATAAAACACGATCACCCTAGTTTGTCTGTGCAAGAAAGTGTTGAGCGATGTGCCCGAATGACTGGAATTGGACAGTCCACGATTTTTAAATTATTGCGAGAAAGAAAGATATCAGGCCAGTTAAGTCCATGCAAGAGAAAATCAGGAAGACCAATAAAAATCTTAGGTGAAGACACCAAACGTGACATTCGAAGAAAAGTTCATTCGTTTTATTTTAAAAGGAAATACCCACCCTTGACAAAATACTAATGGAGATAAGCCAAGATAACGATATTCCTTTGATATCCAGAAAACTTTTATGGAAAACTTTAAAAAGTATGAATTTTTCCTGGGAAAAGCACAATCGAAAGGCACTATTACTGGAAAGTGATGAAATCATTTGCTGGAGACGAAAATATTTGAGAACTATAAAACAGTACCGCAGAGAGCACAAGAAAATTTTTTATCTTGATGAGACGTGGATAAACGAAGGTTATATAGTCCAAAAAATGTGGCAAGATAAAAATGTAACAAGTGCTCGCCAAGCTTTCATAGAAGGCCTTTCGATGGGTATTAAAGTGCCTTCGGGAAAAGGGAAGAGGCTTATAATTGCTCACATTGGAAGCGAAGAAGGATTTTTAAAAGAAGGTTTGTTAAGCTTTGCGTCGTGTCGGACGGGAGATTATCATGAGGACATGAATTTGGATGTCTTCGAAGACTACTTCGGGGAAATGTTAAAATTTCTTCCAGCTGATTCGGTCGTGGTTATGGATAATGCAAGCTACCATTCAAGGCACATAGAGAAGGTACCAACTTCAGCTTGGAGGAAGCAAGAAATTATTAACTGGCTGTCAAATAAAGGTATTCAGTTTGAGACGAATTCAATAAAGAAGGAACTACTAGCCGTAGTAAAACAACATAAATCTCGCTTCATAAAATATGCCGTAGAAGATGTAGCAGAAAAGTATAAAGTAACTGTGCTACGCCTACCGCCATATCATTGCGAATTAAATCCCATAGAACTTATATGGGCACAAGTTAAAGGATATGTTGCAAGGCACAATACCACATTTAAAATGAAAGATGTCAAGTTATTGTTTGATCAAGCCATTATGGAAATCACATCAGAAAACTGGCAAAAGCAATCCAGCATGTTTTAAAAGAGGAAGATAAAATGTGGGAACTGGACAACTTGGTCGATCAGGTGGTTGACCCTATAATTATAACACCAGGGGATGATGACAGTTCTTTGGATGAAGACTATAGTGATGTAGAATTGTAATAACGTATCCAGTAAAGTTTTTGTAGTTTTTGTGAATAAATTGATTTAAACTCCCCACAAGTGTTTCAATATGTAAAGTTCATTCGTGTGTGTTTGTGAGTATTTCCCGATTTCGGTTCGTATATATTTTATTGTTACATTTTATATTTTTTAAATAACACTGTTCTGCTGTATTACATTTTTATTTCCTTTAATATGATTTTTAAGAATGCATATTCTTTTGTCAATTAACCCACTAGCGCGCCTCTGTCTCAGTGTTTATCTGTCGATAACAATGGACTAATCCCTTAAAACAGGGTGATACCTACCTGCTCTTTATGAAACGACAGAATTTTGCAATGCGGACGGAATTTATTGACGGATTATTGACGTATTACCCTGTAGCGCTTTTGAATACTTCATGAGATTTTATTACTCTACACTCATTAGAAATAGATTATAACTGTTTTTAACAAAATTCCCCCTTTAAATATAAAATACCGTTAATCGAGAATGCCTTCGAATTCAGACGGCGCCCTCTGGAAAAGGATGAAAGGCAGACCGGTCTTCAGCTGAGCGGCGAACTCAATAGAACAGAATATAATTAGAAAGAATATGTTTACAGTTATGAGTCATAATTATCGTAACAATACGCCGATCTAAACCAGATAAAAGGACTTGATTAGTTTAGTTCATCTTTAAAATGGATAAAATTGTGAGTATGAAAAAGATCACTATTTGAGAAGGAACCACAGGTGTAACATTTGACTTTTCTTTTTTATTCCAGCGCTAGATAATTTTTTTGAGGTGATTTTAACAAATACAAATTGACTTGTCTGCTTATGTCCGCCGACCATACATATAATGAATTATATTTGCTGATTTTGGCTGTTTAAGATTAATTGTGTATGTAAATTTTACATTGTTTCTATGATATTGTATTTTACTTTTATATATCTAGTAAATTTTGTCTTGGGCAAACGTAATATATGTTTTATTTTTATTTCAGTTAAACCTCTACCTCCACAAGCAGTTGAAGAGCCAACTGCAACCATAGTGCCTACAACAAGAACACCAACGATGAAAGAAGTACTCGCCTCAATTCCTGGATTCACAATGAAACCAAGAAAGAGATCTAACAAAAAATTATCCCAAGCTGCACAACTTGAACAAACCAAAGAAGGTTGCATTGACTTGGAAACTCCAGATTCTATCTTAGTCAATACAAATTTACGTCATTTGCTTAATAAGGCTACATTCGCAGCTTTACCCACCCTATATCAAAACAAATTGGTTCAATTATTGCCCAATGTCGACAGAAATATTGTAAATAACGACCCAAATAGTGTAGATATGAGTAATTCAGGTTTGAACAATGAATTTTTTGCTAGAGCTTGCTTGGAATGGCAAGATCGACTGGCAGAAGGTGAATTTACACCTGAAAACCAACAAAAACTTAAATTAGAAGCTGATAAAGAAAGAAACAAGGTGGATCCTTGGAAACTGAAACATTTTGAACCAATTTGGGGAGATAGATCCTGTGCGGCTGACTCTCTTGTATCTACTAGTGTAAATAATATAAACTATAATAATTCAACACGTCCACCTATCAAGACTACTATCAAACTTAGGCCATCTACTACAAATAAACAGAAAAGTTCTGCACCTCCTCCTGTTAAACGACTCAGAACTGTCGGAGCAATGACTCGCTCTTGTACGACAAATATGAAAATAGAATTGAACTATGTTGAAAACAAATCTCAAATTCCTGACTTGTTACCCATAAAGCAAATGAAACAAGTACAAAAGGAGGAATGCCGTTTTAAGTCTGAAAGTACATTTAAAATAGATATAGATACAGCATCAGTTAGTGATAATATTGTAGAACTTCAGGAAAAATGTATTGTTAATATAAGTGATACTATTTTAGAAAATAATCAAGAGACAATCATATGTTCTTCAAAGTCGGAGAAAAGGCCAAGATCCCCAAGTACTGACTCCGAAGGCAGATCTCCCAAACGTAAGATTATTTTTAATATTCTGTTGCATAAATGTCTACCAGAAAACAATCAGAATGTTGAACAAATTACACATAATTCAAAATTATTTAAACAATACACTTAACTCTTGGCTTTAGTTGTAATTTTTATTTTTAATAACATTTTGAAAAAACTATGAATGCGTTCCTGGTAATAATAAATTGTTAATAGTTTCTGCGCAATTTTTGCCATTAGTCCTAATGTTACACTTATTTAAAATCACTTTTATTGAAAACACCAAAAAATATTACAATACTTGTTAATAAACTCAAACTGAATGACAGAACTATTCAAAAACTCAATTACGACTACTACTGACGTTCCAACCTTACAAGACGTTTCCGGACATATCGATAACTCCTAGAACATTCTAGATTTTTAATTCTTCTTTTTCGGCAAGCTACTGTGTCTATTTGGAATAAATCGTAAGGGACTGTCGTAACAGTAATATGTCTATAAGTCTTATACTAAAATGCTAGCTTAAACATATGCGTATGGTTTAAAATTAATTTCGTCTGAGTAAGAATATGCACGATTTTTGTTATAATAAGACGCTTTTCCAACATTTTTATCCCTTTCGAAATCCAATTTTACATGAATTCTTTAAAATAGTGTGAATGGCCATTTTACCATCTTGTAAAACTTCGCGCCTCCTTTGATTGTAACATTTCCTCTTCGGATTGTCGTTCTGCAATTTGGAATTTCCGCTTTAATATTCTGCAGGTTGGATTCCAGCGCCTGCCAGTAGATATGTTGCTCCCTCTTTCCCTTGTTCCCTACCTCCTTTATGGCTTCTACTAAATGCTAGCGCTTTTCAAGCTATTTTAGTCCTCCGCTCGATCGGGATGATCTTATAATCGACATTTATAATTTTTTGGCTCCTTACTTCCCTCCTTTCAATGGTAATCCAATTTAGGACATAGTTTGTTTGATCCTTGCCTTGTTCTCTGACTATTTGTTCCAGGCCTGTGTGACTTTGTGCCCATTCTGCGATCTAGTTGACTGCTAGTTCACTTTCCCTCTTTTATATAGCGTAATTATCATACCTGTGTTTCATGCTGGGACAATTTCCCTTCTCTCTGCTGCTTTTGTTCTTTTAAAGCCATCGTGCTGGCATTCTACGTCCACGTACTTGTCATATTCTCCTTTATTCATTTCTCTCTCTAAAACGCGCCTAGTTCTTCCTCTCTTCTATGGACGTAGCCATCCCTGAGTCGACCATTTTTCTGTTTTCTTCCTAGGTTCCTGACTTTTTCTGATCCCTCGCTATCAGTACTCGTATGTGATCTATCAATGGAGTCTCTCCTTCCCAAGATATCAGATTCCCCCAGTTCTTCAAGCTGTTTCTATTCCGTGTCCTCGTGCAGGTCGTCATCGTTTTCTTTATGTTTTGTCTTATTAAAAGAGTCGGTTGTTTCGCATTCATATATGTTCCCACGCGTTAGTGCTTCCAGTGCTCCCTTATCCAGGAACCCTGATAGGTATCCTGGCACCGTTGGCGTCTGATTTTCGAGCAGCCATTCATCCGCTGGTCAAGGTGGCGCAAGGTCTGCAATGGTCCGAGAACTTATTCTAGGATTTTCTACAACTGCTGCATTTCTGCAAACTCTACATTTATTTCATTTTTCTAAATTTTTTGGTACCTCAGCAATATTGTTTGTACGGGTACAATTAGAAATCACGGTCCCATTAGTTACAAAATTTTGTAAAATCGTTTGAATTGTTGAATGACTTTGAATTGGTCTATTGGAATATCTTACGCTAAATAAAGAACTGACAATTCGAGCACTATTGCCTAAATAAAACATTTTTATTATTGCTAGTTTCTCCTCAACTGAATACATTTCAATATATCAATATTCAATAATCAACTATATTGTTTTTTAAACAATAAATCACAAATTTTGGAAATTCAAATATTGTCAAATATCAGAAACATAAATATGACCAAATACAACATGACATACACATTCTTGTACCTCGTGTGGCCTGAATTTAAGGGGTGCCCTGAAAAATGTATTATATTTTTACAAAATTTGGAATACATTTAATTCGTAGAACAATTTTAATATTTGTTTTTAATACATATTTCAGTCCTCTAAAAATAGTTTCTTATGACTTTTGATGTAAAATAATTAGGGAAGCAGGAATTCAACAATTCAGAATTTCCCATTGAATTTCCTATAGCCAGTTTGACGATTCACCACCCTGTATACTTTCGCACGTGCACGTTTATCTTCGAAAATAAGAAGGAAATAAAGCCTGTTTAGTTTACTTCGACAAAAACATAATTATTGTAAAGAAATATCAAAAGACGTGTATGCAACACGTCTGTAGTTGACACGAAGTCACGTTGACATAAAGTTGTCGACAACCGCTAACAAAAGTAAATGAAAAATAGGGGAAACCGTGGCAGCGAGGACTAGCTAGCAAAATGTCTTTATATAATTTCTGTTTATCATGGTATAATTATACAAAAAATGTACAATTTTAACATTTGTACGAAAAAAAATGTTTACATGTATCATGTGGTCCTCCATGCCCCGTATGTAGGGGCAAGTAGCTCCATCATATTAAAAATAAGTAAGAACGTAATGGAGATGGTTAACATAAACACAATTCACAGATGAACTGAGAACTGAGATGGGCCCACCGATGACAAGTTTGGCACCTAATCCATCCTTCGCCTTGTTTGCTTTCTTTATAGGTGCTGTGACAAAAAATGCACAGGCAATCGTCTTAATTCTAGCTTTCACTATTGCTTCTCTGAATTGTCTTAATAATTTTTGCATTTTTCTTACTCGGTATTTTATTTGTTTTTAGAAGTGGCCTTTTAGAAATATTTGCTAAGCTTTTTTCTTCTTCGGGGTTAAAAAAGCTTTGGATTTATAAATCGGTGTTTCTTTTTACAGCTCCTAGTTTAATGTGTCTTTTCTTCTTTCTTGTTTTTCTTCTAATGCATCCTTAATAGGCGTGCTAGTAAGGATTGTGGAATTTTTTTTCTCTTACTTTGCCTCTTCTTCTTTTTATTGTCTGAAACTGCAACTGGCGATACGATTTGTAATACTTCTACAAATGATGAAGACTGAGTTACTTCTGCTTTCGAAAGACCCGGTACTGCACTAAATTCTGATGAAATTGGCCCCGGTTCATTTGGCGGAAGAATATTTAAAGGTGATGTTTGTGTTAATGAGTAGTTTCGTGATTTGTAGATAAGCTTTCTACATTTTCATTGACAGTTCAAGGCAGGAAATCAGATTCTTCGAAAACATCCGGGATAGGTGCCTATTTTTTCAAAACCTTTCCCGTTAATTGCATCACGCCGTATATTGTAATCAGTTTTCCTTCAAGACTCGTCATTGTCATGTAGAAATCGCATTCACGAGCGTACTAAGCCGTGAATAGCCCAAAAAATGTTAATGCACGTGACTGCATTCGTTCACTGCAGTGATGTGGAACATTCAGCATTACTATAAGATTTTCTCTTGCTTTTAACACACCCTTAAGCTGCTTATGGCTTATGTGCCTGTCCAAGATTAGTAAAACTTGCTTTTTCTTGCTGGATTTCGATGGCTCCATAAAATGATCTAAATATATAAGGAATTCTCACTATCCATCCAACTGGATCCATTAGCAAAACCGACAGCTGCTGGAGGCGCATCTCTTAATGATGATGGAGCTAATCTCTTTCGAGGAAACAGATAAAATGGAGGAATGTAGTCACTGAAAATACACATGCCATTGTTATGTTGGAACTTCTATTGCCGCTAATTATTCTTTCTACTTGCTATTGTCCTTTCTTTGCCAATATTTTAGTAGGTTTCGGTACAGTTCTTATACCTGTTTCATCATTATTGTTAATGTTTTCTGCACTAAAATTGTAACGATCTGAAACTGTTTTTAAAAGATTAAAACAAATTGTGGCTTGTTCTTTATTAAAACCTAGGAGTCTATTAGGACTTATGGCTTCAGGTTTTCGAATAGACAGTCCAGGATTTCTTTTGAAAAACCTTGTAGCCAATCTTCTCCAACAATTTTTTATTTTTATTAAATGGATGCTTAATTTTTAGCCTTTTTGCAAGTTCATCGGCTATGCGTCTAACATCTAATGGAGTAAGACTATAAAAACTCGACTGTATCTCTAGACACATGTGTTACTAGTAACTGTTCATTGGACCAGAAAAAATAGGATTGTATATGCCAAGCAAGCGCCCAGGGATTTTTCATTCGCCTAAGTAAACAAGTTTTCTGTGTTTTAAATCTCTTACCAGCTTCCCTGATACTTGGTTCGTTGTGTATTGCCTTAATAGCGGCTTCTGCATCGTCTTGCGACCAAACATCACGTTTTCTCTTGTAATTTCTCATCTGAATAACCCATTAATAAAATCATTAATCTTCTGACAACAGAGTAATGGGAACCACTACGGGGTAACAGGGACCGTGGTTCTGTCTGCCCCTACGTCAATGGTCCCCATTACTCCAAATGTCGGAAAGTCACTTATATTACTCAGTCAAAATGCATACAATGATAAAAGTTTGAGTTAGTTTAGTATTTTTTTCAATGTGTAATATCATTGTACACTTAGATTTTCTCAATATTCTAGAAGCTTTTTTACAACTTAATGTTTTAGTACAAAATTTCTAACAACTTACCGTGAAAACTCGATTTTATTATTCAATTGCGTAACAACAAACAACAAGCATCTGTCATTAACATAGAACTGAATTCGGTTCTTGCCAACCTACTAATATCAAACTGCGCACGAAATTCAAAACATTTGGATATGTAATGAGTGGTCCTATTTATCCCGGTGATCCTCGTTGTCCCGATCTCCCCTATTCCTAAGAATTCGCACAATTCTGAATGTATAATAAAAATGGATTTAATTACACTGATCAAATCATTCTCTGATAAAAAACAAATAATACATCCCGCCCAAATCTGAGTTTTTAAATAAATATAATATTGAGTTTAACGGCA